GTGAAGTTTATACGTAACACTAACTAATCCATCATTAAACTCTGGGTGAGTGAAGAGGCCAGGGCTCTGCTCCAGAGAGAGAGAGAGAGAGGCGAGCCAGCAAGGCATGTGAGATCCACTTTTGAGATTAAAAAAAAAAAAAGAAAAAAAAAAAGATGTTTAGAAAAGAAAACAGAGTCGGATCCAGCATCCCCAACTGATGTAAAGTAAAGTTGTGAAAACTATGGAATCCCACTTAACAAAAAATCTTTTCATGGAAGTAAAGGGCAAAAGGTTTTCAAAAGCAGGAATTGGGTTATGTATATTAGCGTTGGAATACGTGGCAAGCATGGTGATTAAGGTATTGGAATTTGAATGGGCTGCTTAAAATTGTGATGGACTGCTTCATCTCCCCTGTTTTCAGTCGCTCCTTTGTGGGCTGTGTCCTATAAATCCAACGCCCCTTCTTCTCTGCCCTTCCTCCCCTCCTCCTTTACAATTTGCATTACTTCTCTTCACTTCTTTCTTTTTATAAATTCCTCAACGCTCAATTAATTACTTACCGCTGATCCCACATTTCCAAGATGGGCGAAGAAGCTGTTCAGATGGTGAGTATCATTTCTTATAAGAATTTTGTTTTCTTTTGTTTGATTGTACCTAATGCTATGAGCTCTGCAGCAGCAGCAGCAGCAGGAAGAAGCAAAGGTAGAGGAGATGAAATTGGAGGAAGCCAAGCCTTGTCCTTGTCCTCCGATCGTGTTGTTGGTGGATCTTCATTGCAGTGGGTGTGCAAAGAAAATAGAAAAGTGTATTATGAGAATCAGAGGTGCTCTTTTATGTAACTATTTGAATAAAGTAGGTAGTTTGATGTTCAGAAGCTGATCCCCAGTGAATGAACGGTTGATGCAGGAGTGGAAGGGGTGAGCATTGACATGGCGAAAAATGAAGTAACCATAAAAGGAATAGTAGACCCAGATGCAGTTTGCGCCAAAATCACCACCAAGACCAAGAGGGTAGCCGAAGTGTTGTCCCCATCGCCGCCGCTGCCTGAGGGTGAACCCAGCCCCCACCTAATTGTTAACTCCCAGGTATCAAAATCAACTCTATTCGCTACCAAAATGTTATTCTCCAATTTCTTTGAAAATGAATTAACTCAAGTTGGGAGGTGAAGTTGAAGGTGGTGGAATTGAACGTCAACATGCACTGCGACGCCTGTGCTCACCAGCTCAAGAAGAAGATACTCAAAATGAGAGGTGGGCTTCCATTAAACTCTACCTCAGACATTATAAATGAATTATTAATAATGATGATGGAAATCAATTAAAGTGGGGTTGGTTTAAGTTTCAGGAGTTCAAACAGCATCCACAGAATTGAGCACAGGCAAGGTAGTGGTAACAGGAACCATGGATGGGGATAAGCTCGTGGACTACGTGTACAGACGCACCAAAAAACAAGCCAGAATAGTTCCACAGCCCCAACCCACAGCCACGTCACCCGAACAAGAACCATTAAAACCCGAACAAAGCAAAGAAGAGCAGGCGGCACCACCACCACCACCACCAGAGGAGATAAAGACAGAAGACGCTACTGCACCCCAAGCCCAAGGAACAGACGCGAACAATAATAACAAGGAAGAGGTACAACCAAAAGCGGCGGAAGAGGGTGGGGGGCAGGTGGTGGAAGCGACGGCCGAGACAAAACCAAATGTGGAGGTGGAGGAAGCGAAGGCGGCGGAGGCTGGAGATGAGATGATGGGTGAGGATAATCATGAAAGCATGAAGAGGATGATGTACCAATATTATCAATATCAGCCACTTTACGTTATGGAACGAATTCCACCGCCTCAGCTGTTCAGCGATGAGAATCCCAATGCGTGTTGCGTTCTATAAATTTAAACCCTTTTTCAAATCCATTACTTTACTGCTCTGCTTCTCACCAATTAGTATAGTCCCACAGAAAAGAAACCTTCAAATTCCCACTCATCCGATCAAATTATTGCATGCATCGGTTCCTATACTTCATCCATATTCCTATCCTCCTGTATCTCTTCTGTATTATAATCAATTCTATCTTTATCTCAATAATTCTCTCCTTCTGTCTGCTCCTTCATATTGAATTACTTCTCCTTTTACATTATCCTTTTACATTACATAATTTAACAGGCGTAGCATGTGACACCCCATTATGCTGCCTCGAAATTGTGATTTTTTCTTTTTTCTGGGAAATTGAACTTTGAATATTCCATTCAAAATACAAATCCTAAAGTTAGGTACTAAACCAATATTAGACTTAGCTAAGAAGGATCTGAGTCGGTCCCCTTTTTGTTGCTGCCAACGTTGCAGCACTAACTTTATACTAATATAAACTCAAATATGTTATAATTATATAACAGTATAGTCCAAAATTAATGAAATTAATTTTATTTACATGCAATATAACAATTGAAGAATCTGATTAAAAGGGTGGAGGGTAGGAGGAGGAGGTGAAGGATGGAGATTGTGGGCGTAAAAGAGGAACACCCAGAACTGAGGCAGAGGGCGGGAAAGTAAATGGCGGCCACATGTGTTCATCGAATCTAATCCACCTTCTCTTCTCTTCTGACCGCTTCCTCAGCACATTTATCTTTGCATTCTTTTATCGCAAAAGGAAAACTAAAAGAGAGATTGGGAGATTATTCCATTGATTGGGGCGATGGCCTTGGTGTTCACGTGGATGGGTCCCTTTTCTGAAGCACCAGTCATTTCAGTCCATGATGGTGATGGTGTTTTTATGAATACTATATATGTAATGCAAATACATCAATCGTATGATCTTCCCAGATTGTTTGAAGAGAGATATGTAAGGCATGCAGTGCAGACGAAGGGGTTTTGCTTCCGATTCACTGCTACATGGACTGGCGCTGGTTCATATCCATAAGCAAAAGCCTGGCAATGGTCTTTCCCACCCAATATGGCCTATACATAAAAAGCAAGCATCTCAAAGGCACGGTCCTATCCCTCTGATATCATTCCCTTCTCATTAAATTTTCAGTTTGGCAGTATTATTTAATTACTTGGGGTTCTTTTGTGAATGATATAATGTGATGGGTTTGGGAGGGGGGTGTCCCCTAAGCGGTGGGCAGGGCAGGAAGGAAGGAGTAATACTTTGGATTGATATGAGTGGTTGTGGCAGGGATGTATTCAGTTAATGTGGATTACAATCCAGAACCACAAGCAGAAGCAAGGGAAGGACTTGGATCATCTTCATCTCCCCTTTCTTTTGCTGTTATATGATATATGTACAAGGTTTGGTTTGAAATTTGAATGTGAAGCTTTCATTTTGGGTTAATCTCATCCACATACATCCCAGTATGGGGCATCATCCCACTGTTACTTAATTATTAGTTGTGTCCAAGCAGCACATGCTCGGTTTCCAAGCTTGAAAGTAGAATTTCTTAAAGGAAAGAAAGGCTAGAGGCTACATGATTAAGAGGAAAAGAAAAGATAGCCAACAAAGGAAGAGAAGAGGGTTGGATTGGAGGGGTGGAGTGTTGAACACAACTCACTGTGGGAAACACTCGCTCTCTTTATTAAGACCAATCGAGAAGAGAATACAAGACACTCTGTAGAATACTTCTGCTTTTTATTGTTTTTAGATTTCTTGGATAAATAACCTAGGTAGGGTGGGGGTATTTATACTAAGAGTAAACAATCTATATTTAACCAATCTAAATCTAGACCTAACCGATTTGAATCTAGACCTAACAAATTGAATCTTTCTCCTAAAATATCTACATCTCTTTCTCCTAAAATCTCTACTAAAATAAATATACTGGGCTCGTACAATTAGGCTTGACTCTATTGGGCTAGTACAATTATTGGGCTTGACTCTATTGGGCTAGTGATGATATTTCAACATGGAGGGGCTGAGGTTTGTGGCCACAAACCATTCCACCATTCAAAAACCAGTAATTAAGGGTAAGGGGTCGATCAACAGAATCAGCATCTGCTTAAAACGACGTCACTCGATGACTTGACACCACAACACCCGCCCCCACCCTGTAATCATAGAATTAGAAGCCCACCTGAATTCATGCTCATTATATGTGCATCTCTGGTTTGATATCCAATATCCAAAGTCTGCAATGAGAGAGGTAGTGATTGGGGTTATAAATTTGGCATCACATTGAGGCGACCAAAGCAAGCTAAGCAATATAATAAGAGGGAAACCAAAGTGTGCATTTGGGTATTGTTGTTGAGAAAATAGATATAGGATGATAAAGGTGGCGATAATGGCGGAGATTTTGGGAGTGTACGTGTCTACTCTTACCAGACTCACGCACCGCTTGGGGCTACCACGATGGAATCTGGCCGTGGATGGCCTCACCGGCTCCCATTCTCCTTCTTCTACCCTTCTAATCCTCTATTTCTAGCTCCCCTCCATCTCTTCTTCTTTGCTCGTCACTTATTCCTCTGATCTGCTCTTTTGTAAATGAATTATATTCCAATGTATCCTCTGTTCTTCTTTATTTTTACTTATTGAACCCGGATATTCTTTTTTTGGTGTTCTTATTATGTTTTTACGGTGAAAAAGCAATAAAACCAATTCCCTGCTTAAGAGGATGACGTGGGTCTCGTTGCATGGGTGTCAAATGGGTTTAATAAATGGAGCTGAACCAACCCAAACCGAAACTTTAAAATTTAGGGTAAAATTGGAAAATTAGGCCCAAATTATAAAGAAAAGTAAATAGGAATATTTTAAAAGGGAGGGTAAAAACGAAATAATGGGTAAAGGTGAGGGGCGAAAAAGTGAAAAAAAGGCAACGACATTGAATTCCATGAGCGGAGACTTTAGATGGGAAATGGGAGAAGAGAGTGATGACGATCATCAAACTGGAAATGCTTTTCTAGTTTCCTTCCATTAGAACTCACTCATATGGTGGAAGAGGAGACGACTGTGCCACCATCTCCTGCTCCTCTCCGCGCCGCTTCTCTATTCTGGTTTTCTTCTTCTTTCCTTCTCTCCATTTACGTTCTTCTTCATGTATTTCTTTTCTTTCTTTCTTTCTTTCTTTTTGTTTGTAAAAATCCTCTACGTTTGCGATGTACATCGTCCTCTCTAATTCTGCATATGCAGGAATCTTGAATGTCTCCCTTATGGATTTAGGCTGTTATTCTATCCCCTTTCCATTGATTTCCTCCTAAAGCTCCTCCAATTCATCCATTACCTCGGTCCTCTCCTACAATATGAGCATGGGTTTTGCCTCTCTTGGTGTTGGTAATGGAGGTTCTCCATCGTCTTTTTCCAATTTGTCACCTTTGGCGCCGCCCTTCACTCTTGATCGTTCCGTTTCTAAACCTTTTCCGACCCCGCTTCTAGATATGACCGAACCTTCATTTGGGGTTGGGGTTGGGGCTGGGGCTGGGGCTGGGGTTCTCCTCAACTCTTCCCTGCACAATTGGCTCCCTTCCACCTCCAAAACCTCAGGCCTTGACTTCGTCTCCAGTTCCACCTCTGAATTTGATTGGTTCCCCTTCTCTTCTGGGTCCACATACCCCAGGTCGCAGCCTATGATGGAGCCTTCTGATAACCATGGACCTCTTTTGGGCCGTCTTACAATGTCTACAACTGACCGCTCCTTATACGGTCATTCCTCTGACGGACTAACAACTAGTATTGGTAAAGCAAAACCCTACTATCCTTCCTACGCCTCAACTTCATGTAACAAAGGTGGCCCTATGGTCCTTGTTGATCAACCAAGTTATAATTGGCCATTGCACTCGCATGTTGCTACATTCGATGTGCCCCCGTGCGCGGACCTCTCTTGGGGATCTTCAGGCTCTGAGAGATCAGGTGAAGAGGCTTCACATTCTATTGATATACCTGATCTGAATAAATGCAACGAGTTTGTGAGAGAATATCCAGACGAGGAATTGTTATTGGAGCAGAACCTTCACATGGATGCTCATTCTGCATTTCCTGGATGCCACCCTAAGACTAGGACACCGCCTTCAAATCCAGCGTCAAGTTCTCAGAACTATCAATTTCTGAAAAAGGCTCCATATCAGGAAATCTTAAGAGAGCAAGATGCTAGACTGAGTGTGGCTACTTTTTCCCTCAGACCACCTGTTGTCACTACTGATTCTTTTCTCAGGAATATCAGTCCATGTCATATTTCAGATTATGACCATGATTCCTTTGAAGGAAAACAAGGTGGCAACGACCTTTCAAATCTAAAGGAGTTTCTTCCAGTTCATTCTGATAGCAAGGAATTCTTCGGCACAGAGAACCATGGCACATGTATAGATAAAAATGATCCTATAGTTACTGAGTTCTCCTCAACCAAAATTCATGACGTACGAAGCAATATACATTCTGATAAGGATTCACCAGACTGTACATTGAAGGCCGGAATGGGACTTTATATTCCTGATGCCAGTCCCAACTTTAGTTCGCAAACTGCCACAACAATTGAGAGTTCCTCTGAAAGTTTTGATCAGTACAACCTTGCAGCGGTAGACTCTCCTTGCTGGAAAGGAGCTCGAATTTGTCGTACATCTCCATTTCAAGCTTTTGAAATTGTCACTCCGACTCGTATGAAGACCGAAGAAGTTTGCAACAGTGTGAATCTCTCATTGTCTCAAGTACCTCCTTCTACTGCCAAGGATACTGTTCATGAACCAAATGAAAGCACCATAGGCGGCATTCTGGAGAAGGGTGCAACATCTTCTCCAAAGATGCCTTCAGTTGCTGGTCCCTCCTTGCCTGCAGCACAGAAAACTAGCACTTCTGTGAAAGCAGGAGAATTTTGTTCTAAAATGGGCTGCTTCCATCCAGCTACCGGTAGCATCCATGACCCTGTAGAAGATAGTGGTGTCTCCTATTCTTCCTGTTCCATACCACAAAGTAAATATAAGCATAATTTAATGACTGGAAAAAGGATTGCAACTACAAGTTACATGAAGATGCATGCGGATGCAAGATTAAATAGTGACAACTCTTCTGAAAATGGTATGAATCATTTGTCATATGATGCTGCAAAACATATTCAGAATTTTCCTTCTGAGCTTGTGAAGGCATTTCACAGAGAATCACTCTCAAAAATGGATATCCAGATTCTGGTTGATAAATTGCACAGTCTATCAGAATTGCTCCTTGCATATTGTTCAAATGGTTCAGCTGCATTACACCGAAAAGACGTCAAGTCTCTCAAGACTGTGATGAATAACCTTGATGTTTGTATAAATAGCTTTGGATCACAAGATTCTCTCTCACCTGAGCAACGAAGTTCACAAAATCTCGAGCAGTTTCATCAACTCCATTCGGTATGTTATGTCTACTGTCTAGTTTCTTCATTGTTAAGTTCAGGAAGTGATATTTTGAAAACCCCTGATGAAAGTTTAAGTACCATACGATCATTGTACACACACGCACATTGATGAAGATTTTCTCTTGAGCAAATTTTCCCTTTTTCTGTTGAAGAAAGATGAAGATATTTTGCATAACACTTGTACAATTTAAAATCCGCATATATGTTATAGTTATTATTTTTCTATGAGAAACCAATCTTTCACTGAGAAAAATGAATATTTAAGGGTAGACATAGAAATAGACCCATAAAAGTGGACGTCGAAAACTAAATATGAAACACACTTCAATCCAGAGATCTACCCTTCCCTCCTCTTTGTTTCATCTCTTATTTATTCAGAGAGCTACTCCGTTTGAGTTTGTCTGTCACATTTGACAATGCTTAAAAGTTCTCTCTGCGTTGTGTGGAAATCAAATTATAATTGCTGTGATTATGTAATGTACTTGTTCATCAGGAATTCCAGGATGTGAGAGTGCTCAAGTCCCAATCCCAGACGACAAAGATTGAAGGAGAAAGTTTGGAGTGTTTATCAAATGATGGCAATGGTGTTGAGGAAACGAATCAATACATATTGTCTATCAAGAAAGACAAAGAAGCTGCGGACTCTCTTTATCTTAGGAATGGGATTGACTCGATGAAAGAAGACAGCATGACCAAGGTATCTATTAAGGATAGAAAGTGATATTTTTTCATCTGTTGTGTGGAAGGCATGCTAAGGTATATTGTGTACTGGCTATATATAAAGGATGATATCAGCTTATATCGTTATCATATTTTTAGGCTCTTAAGAAGGTTCTGAGAGAGAATTTTCATGATGACAAAGAACATCCTCAATCTCTTTTGTACAAGAATCTATGGCTTGAGGCAGAAGCTGCATTATGTGCTTCCAAATTAATAGCTCGTTTTAGTATAGCAAAGTCGGAAATGGAGAAACATGAACTACCAATAGTGAGAGGTAAGTTTTGATGTTAGAACTTTCCCCCCATATTTTATTCACTTCGGCATGTAGTGTCAATGGTCTGTTCTCCTTACTCAGATATATTTATTTATGGTATAATTTTTATGGCTTAGAACATGCCGAAAATTGGGACGAACTACTCGTTTCTGGTGTATCTCCTGGTTCAAGCACCGTTGGGAAATTGGCACCTAAGACTAAAGTTGGTTCAACTTCATTTGTTCCCGTCCAGACTTCCCCTGCCGTGAGTGTCAGTAGTCATGCTGCAGATGATGTGATTACTAGATTCCATATTCTCAAATGCCGAGAGGATGAAGCAAAGGATAGGCATGCTGGATATTCCGGACAAGACATGGTTGAAAAATTAGCACTCGACAAGGAACAAACTGCAGTCCCTTATATCAATGACATGGATTCTTCCTTCCCCACCTCGGAGGTCAATGGGGATGACTCTAGGCCTGCTCTTCCATCAATTTCCCCTACCTTGACAAGGAGCTGCCATACAGAAGATGTCATGTCTAGATTTCAAATTCTAAAATCTCGAGATGAGCGCATAAGTTCTTTGAATGTGGGAAAGGTGCAGAAAATTAGAAGCTCCTGTTGCAGTGAGATCGACATGTTGGCACCTAAAGGTAATACCGTGCATAGCCTGGGTATCTCTATACATCATCGCGTTGCAGATAATAAAAGCGAAGTTGATGATTTAGATGCTTCAGTACCGGGCAGACTAGATGTCCTGAGGAGTCGAGGAAACCACATAAGCTTGACCTTGACCCCTGCGAGAGAACAGTTACAGGAGAGAGTAACTGTAAAAAAAGGAGGTTTGGGAGTTGAAACGGAACCTTTCTTGCGGTTTGAAGGTGGGAAGGAAGGTAGAAACTATGGTGAAGGCAAGCTTCCTGCTGGTTGTTCTGATGGGTCCTCATCTGAATGGGAACATGTTCTCTGGTGAATAGACTTGTTGTAATCAACTCTACTCTCTGTCGATGCTATCATATTTTTGTCGAATGAAGTTCAGATGAAACTGTTTAACCGAGATTCTCGGAGATTGTCAACCACAGTTGATCATAATAGATATATTTTTGTAATTACTTGGAGCAACTACCCGCTATCACTACCCTATATCGTTTTAGAAATATAAATTGGGGTTTCATTCTGATCTTACTAGAGAGATGATTCCACAAAAGACAATATTGGGAGCTGGAATTGAGTTCATTATGGAATGAAAGGTTTGATCAATTAGCATGGAAATCATGTGCCAGTTTGTAGATTACAAAGTTGAAATAGTTCATTGGAAAACTGATCCATGAATAAATATAGGAAATTTGTACATTTGGTGTCATAGAAGTTGTGAGGGGACCAGTGATATTGATAAAAATAAGTTAGAAAAAAACCCCCTCGAAATGAGGGATTGGCGGTACGACAAAATATTGTTGATGAAAATGTAGAAGAAGAAACGCTAAAGCTACAGAAACGGAGGAGGCGTGTGGTTGTTGTTTGAGTTGGATCGCCTTTCCCGTTTCCATAATTGATCGGCATGACAATGTGACGTCCAGTGGTCGCATGGAGCTATGGCATCGCAGACGTAACAATAGCACTGCACAGAATCATGCAGCTACCTTATCAATTTCAAATTTACAAAAGCGACCATTCCAATTCCAGTTTAACAGAAGGAATGGAAATTACCATCTCACAGTAAGTCTGATGGGGCGTTGTGGGGAAGGGAGATTTGAGACACAAATACCTGGCGTGCGGATAGTCTCTACAGGCCACCTGCCATCACAGTCCAAATGAAGGATAGGATATGTGTTATGAGAGCAATGGTGGTGACCGGACATGGGAGGAGGGGTTTTGGTGGGCTTACCTGACCCTTTTCAGCCACCAGCGAGACGTCAGAGTCAGAGTCAGAGTGAGAGAGCGTCTGATTGAGGGAATGGAATGGGTCGAAGTCCAAGAGGTAACACTTGTCCATCGCGTCGAAACGCTTCAAATCCAATTTGTTTATGTTTTTGACGCACAAAATGGGTCGGAGGGGCTCATTGTCTTCTTCTTTTTGCATTCTGTTGCTCTTTGAATTCAAACGTCTTTGCTTCTTCGCTCCCTTCATCTTTCTCCTTCCATCTCAACCTGGTCGTATTACATTTTTAGGCAGGTCGTGTGGGTCAATTTTAAATTTAAATTCTGGCTGATCCTGTCGGGACTGTGGCGCCTGTTCCATCCAAAGCGTCCCAAATTTCCATATGGGCCTCTTAACTAACAAAGCCTTACCCCAAATCCCATATACCAAACCAACCCCACACCCAACCACGGATAGAAAGAGTAAGCTGTGTAAAATAAGACACAAAGGCCCGCGTCACTAGCGATGGGGCCCTACCATTTTCGCATCTTTTTTGTGCTCTTTTGTTACAGACCTCTTTATTCCAACGCTCAATTCCCTCCAACCATACATCCCCTCATCCTAAATTTCCTATGCAGGGGTGTCTTTTGAAATAAATACCTTTAATCTGTCAGCCACATTATTTTATACCCATACCTTAATAAAATTAATTCCAGTTTGACACATTACTTCTGCTCACTGCGTTTTGTTTCTTGGTTTTACAGGTGAATTTTGAATTTGCTTTACTTCTTTCCCAATCAACATTAGTAACAAATGATATTACTTTTCTTGGAGCTCCCATCAGACATCCCAAGATTCCAAGTGTGGCTTCAAAGCGAGCAAGAATTTGGTTAAGTCGTTACATCAAATTCTTGAACGCTAATGAGAAATTAGGTAAATAATGGAACATTTGCTATTGCAAATTGAATACTTGTCCAACTTCTAAAGACTCAATTTCTCTTCTTCTAACATATAATATAAAATATAAAGGAACCAAAAGCACAATAAAACAGGGGAGTTCTAGTTGCCATCTAAACTCGAAATATTCTAAGATAGATAAAATATAATGTTTTATTTCTTCCCCCACTTGCTCTCTATCTTTTGTGATATTTTAACTACACCTCTAAACTTTTAATTTTGATTTTGCAAACAACCCATTAACACCCTATTTATTCAAATATTAATATTAATGTGACAAGCTAATTAGATCGATAAGGATGATTTGACACGCATAAGGCCACAAAAAAGTTTAAATTTCTTCAAAATCCATTATTCTTAGTCTCACACAAAAGCTGGGGCACACCCGCCTTTGTTTTAAAAATTGGCTCTACCTTACTATTTTTCCTTTTTCTTATTCTTATTATTATTATTATGTGAGAGGGTGTCAAATCATCCTTTGTTGATCAAATTAGTGTAACATGTGGAAGCAAGGGTGGTAAGGGTTTATTAAAATCAAAATAAAAAATTTAGGGACGTAATTAAAATTTGTAAAAAACCAGAGAGAGGAAGTCGTTAAGGAGGGGAGTGGTTTTTAAATAGTTCCAAGCAATGTCGTTCATCCAAGTTTCTGCTCCAAAACTTACTGTAGTACTCTGCGTAGGTGAAGCCTCGGTAAATGGCGGGAGGCCCATGTCGGGTGAGGGGCGGTGCAGGGCTAATGAGGGCGTCATCGCATGGGCAGAGGAAAGAAGCAACGGACAGCCTGGGCTTGTCCACATTCACAACCGCTCGGTGCCAGACGCTCTTGTAAACCCCATTGCTCAATGCCTGTGGCAACCAAAGGCAACACCACCATTTATGAATTTCGAAGTTAAAACCATAAAAAGTTTACAAAAGGTGGAGGGTGAGAGATTATGTACGCACCTGCAACTGGTCGCCAATGTTGACGACAAAGGCATCGGGCTCGGGGCTGACAGCGAGCCACTTACCGTCTTTGAGGACTTGGAGGCCTGCGACGTGCTGATCTTGAAGGAGGATCGTGAGAGCATTGGGATCGGTATGGGCAGGGAGTCCGTAGGTGAGCTCTGGCTGGGGACAGGGCGGGTAATAATTGACAGCCATGTGCTGGCCCTGTTCCCCCAGCACCTCCCTAATGTAGTCCTTGTGAAGGCCCAAGCTCTCCGATATGAGCTCCTGAATTGTATACCCAAGTTCCCGTACTTGCACGCAATACTCACTCACTACATCCCTGTCAGGTTCAACATTCCAGGTCCATACTTTATTTAGTTTTGGTACATACTATCTAATGTATCGATAGAAAGTGTATAGCTACAAATAAATCAGAACCAGAGTGAATTGTATTTTTAGGCACCCACCATTAATATGGAAACCCCAAATTTCCGCCCATACATTTCTTTATGTTAGGTCTTTTAATTGAATGGAACAAAAAAATATTGGGTGAATTATTGAGATCTCTGATTGATATGTGTAAAAATGAATAAATAAATAAAAGATTGATATTCATATTCTAGTGTAATGGGGTAAAGTGAAAGGTACGGAGCATTAAAATATAGTTGACGTAACATTCGAGAATCATCAATATGTTGAGGGAAGAAAGAAAAGATTATTTAAAATAGAAAGGCGTGTTGCGTGTTGCGTGGTGCGTGGTGCGTGTTGCGTGTTGCGTTGTTGGGCGTTGGATAAGAGGGGTGGTGACGTCAACGCGGTTGGGAGGATGACGTGAAGGATGAGGTGTTAAAACAAGACAAAAACAGAGAGGAGAAAACCCTGAGGGGGTGCCCCACCGCCGTCCATTCTCCATACCCCACCGGCACCCAGGTTCACGCTTGGTTTAGAGAGTAGAAATTCTGAACATGGGGTGCACATGGAAGGCACCACACTACTACTACTACTACTACTACAACACCTTCTAGTTTCACCTAAGTGGACCCACTTCCTCTCGCCCCTTTCTTCCTCATCACAATTCCTCTTTGCCTTTTCCATTTTCAACTCCCATCCAAATATCTAAGATTTTTCTTTTCTTTTCTTTTCTTTTTAGTTTCCTTCCATTTTCACTTATAATTTTGTTTTTTTTTTTTTTAATAAAACCAAAGGAACCAATGAGTGATATCCACGTCAGATGAGACCATTAATTCCTCTTAAAGTCAAATCCCCATCTCATTGTTTTCCATGGAAACAAATTGGTAGAGGACACAAAACGGGAAGAAATTATTATTATTATTTTTAAAATTAAAAAGAAAAAAGAAAAAAAAAACAAAACAAAAAACGGCCTCCTACATACCTATGCTACTCGGCTCCATTCATTTATTTCATTCTTTGCAATGTCTTTCCCATGGAGCAATACATATTCTCACCGAAAATCCATCTACTTTTCTAAAAAGAAAAAGAAAAAGAAAAAGGAAAAAGGAAAATCTTGGATTCCATATCATCGGTAGTTTTTTCAGTTATAAATCTATTCGGCCCGAATCTTATTTGAATACAAATATAACAACGTCAGACTGACGTATAATGTGTTTGTATTATTTCAATAAAAAACATTCCATGTTCAGACAGACTTGATTAAGAATAAAGGATTTAGCACAACTTAAAATAAAATACACGGGTGAATTTATATTTAAAAGTAATTAGAAATTAATAATATTTTAGTGATAAAAGAAGTTATAAAAATGGAAATTAGAGAGCAATGGGAAGAAAAGGATATGAAAGAAGTAAAGGGAGAGAGGGAGGAACCTGAAGAGAGGAGGGTTAGTGGGCCAATGGGGCAAGTATTTGGAGAGAGGATAGCAATGGAGTCTGAGATAATCCCTCCAGTTGTGAAATTCCTCCTTCCGGACGTTGAAACTTGTGGACAGCCTGACCGTCTTGGAAGGGTCGTCGGAGTAAAGTTTGAGCTTCTCCTCCAGCGGCAGCCCAAAGAAGGCATTCCCAACTCCTATCGTTCTCTCCACCAATTCCTTACTCACTCCATGGTTCCTCACCTGCGTTTCAACTTCAAATTTTAGTCTTTCAATTTCAACAACAAACTCTAAACCGCCATTTAAACAAATATACCTGGAAAAAGCCGTAACACTTGCAGGCCTCCCCCACTTGTGCCACCATCCAGGCTCGGTCCTCGCATCCCAAGTCGATGATTGGGACGTTCTCCAAAGAGCACACTTCCGACAACCTCGGCCTGTCCGACTCCGGCCTTTCATACTTTTCCGGCAAGCTCTCGTGACGCGTCCCCGAAGACAAAAGTTGGATCTCCATTTTCTTGCTAAGGATATCACACCTTAACAGCCCACAAAATCCCTATTTTAGAGAGGGAGTTGAGGAAACCCCATGACCTACCCACTCTCTATCACATGCCCCACCATGTTTGCCACTGTTAATTCTTCTCCAATTCCCAGCTTTATACATTAATAACTTTCATAATTTGTTCCATTTTCATTTTAACATTTAAAATATCAAGTTCAATAATTAAATTATTTTGTTTCTGCACTCGAATAAAAAAAATCATGAAAAGTAAAATATAAAATAATTAATTTAACCTAATCGCTAAAAAGAAAAAAAAGAAAGGAAAAAAAGAACTTACCGGGGAATAATGAAACATGTGACTTTTTTTTTTTTTTTTTTTTTTTTTTTTTTTTTGTAAAAAAAGAAAGTTTTAAACAACGGTCCAATTAATGCACTCCATTGTTTTGACATTAAAGAGCAATTTGATTATTTTGATGAATGAGTCAAAATATGTGGCTGTGTCCAAACTTACCATTAATATTCAATTAGCACTTCAAGATAGCTACCCACAAATTCAACCAATGCATCAAAATAAATTACTCTCCTTCTTGTTATTATTTATTTTATTACATTATTGTATTTTCAAAAATGTGAAAACTTGCTTATTAATACATTCTTTATTTGAAAAGAGTGAAAAGTGTTTCTTCATATTAAATACACGCATTCATCACTATATTGAAACCTTAAAAATGCTTTCAACTTTTTACAAAGTGGTGTTGAGGGGGAAAAGGTTGAGTTGATTATTAAAGGGAGGCCTTTTTAAAAAACCAACCTTAAAATAGTTCTGATTAAAGGATTATTGATATTGATAAAATATATGTATATTATATGTGATAAGATTCAACTTCATATTTATTTATTTATTATTGTTCTTTTTTAAGAATGCAGTGGCAGACGGAAAATTGAGAATTCAAATTTACCGGAAAAGATCAAAAACTCAAATCTACTTTTGTTTTCATTTAAATATAAAATTTTAAAAGTTGAATAATTTAATAGCTGACGTGGCAAAAACTAGTCCTCATCTACGTGTACTCCGACCATTGAAGCACGGCATATTTTTATACGATCATAAAATACTCCTTTAGTCCCAAAATTTTTGTCACATTCATGATGCCATTTAATTTTTGGAAAGAGACAAATTTAAAGGATATGATAAAATTTGATCCACACTTTAATCCATCTCTACAATATATAATATCATATAATAAAAAATGTATTTTTAATAAACCCAATAAATTTGAAGATAAGAATTAAAGCTTTAATTTTAGAAAAGGATCTTTCACCATTAATTATGTCCACGTCGACATATCAATATCTTATTGTGTTACATATTCGCTAAATATGGGAAACGTGTAAATTGGATAATAGGATGAAAGGAAGACTCGAATAGGAGACTTTTAATGGAGAAAAAAAAGGGGGGACTTTGAGTTGAAATATGTTGGGGTATTTGAAAAGTCATTTTTGAGGTATCCAGAGCATACGCTGATGTTCCCTTATCAAACACAAGGAACCCACACACTTCACAAATACGCGTGGAA